ATGTATGAAGTGTTAATTAGTATCTTCGTACGGAGTACTTAAATGGAGCTGGATGAATTGATTTGATTGCCTTAACAAGTTTACATGATATGGGCTATATCAAGAGTCAGTTATTGAGTTATCAAGAGCCAATTATTAGACCACGTGTATTAATGGAGTCCAAAGATGAGCATTATCTGTTATGTGGTAGCCACCTCATCAAGGGATTCTATGGCAAAAAAGTGTTGTAAACCCTTCTTAATGATTACACAATTATTGTTTTTTTGTTTCTTTAATTTTCTAATCTAAATAAAAATAATACTAAATTAAAAGCAAACAATAGTTTACACTATATTAAATAATATGGAGTAATTCATTAGATAATAAAAACAATAATTCATTAGATAATAAAAACAATATCCTATTTTACACTATATTAAACAAAAACAATAATTCATTAGATAATAAAAAAATTAAAAACACAACAGTTCTTAGCGGTGAATGAATCCTCATATATCCTATATTCCTATCACCGAAAAATATCCATGTGGATGGTAGTATTTTAGCATAGGATGAAGCGATGGGTACCGAACTTGATATGACATCGTTAATGACTGCCGACTGTTCTAAAATGCGGATGTCCTTGTTGGATTCGGCTACACCAAAGTTGGCTTGCCAAATCCAAAGGTCATACAATGCAACGACTTGAAGAATGAGTGTTGATCCTTTCTAGGTCACTCTGTGTGTGTTGACCTCGCCATGCCGTTGGACTGTTAAATCATTGCCAGTGCATGCAATCTATGCTGCCAACTATGCTTGGTAAACTATGTACCTCTTCATGTACATCATATATATCACTCCCTTTATCCCATATCTTTCTTCCCATTTTCCTTCGGGCCATCCCACTCCCCCGTCAGAACCACCCCCCCTCCCCCACTTCTTCAGCCCCTCTCCATTTCTCTGCAAATTTTCTCTTCTTCTTTGTAGCTCATCTGAGTCATGGGTGGGGTTTGGGGTTTGATGTTGAAGACGAAATAATTTGAGATTTGTGGTAATGGATGGTTGGGGGGGCATTGAATTTGGTTGAAGATGAAAATTGTTTGTCTTCGGCAATTTGGTAGGGGCTGAGCTTGGAAATGTTTAGGAGGGCAAACTTGGAAAGTCAAAGTAATTTTTTCTTTACATTAAAAACCATGTCAAGTCAAAACAAGAAGTTTCAACTTCGGCGGAGGGAGTACACACACACACAAGCATAGCTCCACACAATGCGTGGATTATAATACCCGATGTTTTTTTCATAAATTAGTACTTCAGCAGTACAATTTTTAGGGTTATGTGTTCAAGAGATTTAGTGTTTATATTATTTGTGACCCATATATGCTTATTTAAAACAACAACCCAGTTAAATCCCACAAGAGTAGGGTCTGGGGAGGGTGTGTGTACGCAGACCTTAACCCTACTCGAAAGTAGAGAGGCTGTTTCCAAAGAGACCCCCGGCTCAACGTCGAAAGTTGCATTGCTTGACTAACTGCTACTTCATTAATTAAAGAAGCGCAGACAGTTTAGAGATCCATTTTGATTTATTCCATCACACCTCAAAGCCAAAAAATGGTGAAATTTTGGCTCCATCGGAGATGATGGAAATCCAAGACATCAACCCATATATGCTTATTTATAATAAAAAAAAGCATTTGAGTTATAGGGTGTTGGAGTTTGTAAAAAGGTTAAATGAAGTCAGAACGATGTGGCAGGTTTGAAAAATCAACTTGTTAGGGGTACATGATCAACCTTGGGCACCTATTATGAAATACCTGCAACATGCCCTCAGAAAAGACAGAAAATTATGACTTGTAATAACAGCTGCCCATGCATTTTCCAGGTGCCATAGCTTTGACTTCTTCACTCATTGACCACTAAATATGGACAAAAGAAAGTACAAATACATTAAAACTACAGGTAAATTATAATAAAACACCTCTATAGAAGAATACTTGTATCATGAAAATCAATTTGCATTAAAGCAAATTGATACAAGATACATACATATGGCTATATTGATAAAGTTTGGAATTTTAGTTCTGACAATCAATAGTCTCAAGTACATATATACTAATAAATGAAAATATCCATAATGTTCCATAATTTTCATACTACCAAGCATAATCTAACGTAGAAATCACCTCCTTCCTGGTTGTATAGGAGTCGCTCCTGGTTGAAAAGATTCTTGCATTTTTGGACTTGCTGACTCAGCAGTGCTCTTTAATTCAGCTTTCTTTCTATCTGTGTTGAAGTTATTGGTACCAGATCTAGATAAACAGAAAACAGAAATCTAGAACAAGAACTTATTGGAAATCCTTCTCCAATTCATTGAAAAACTTTGAATACATAAAACAAAGAAAAACTATCCCTATTTATAGGTGATTTAACCTTGTCCACCAAGTTAAATCATCAGCCTTGTGCCCTTGTTCTCCAAGCAAAACATCTCCTACTCCTACAATCTCAAATCCATCTGAGATATGTCTCCTAAAATTATGACTGACTCTACCCTAATTATTGACAAATAAAGACTTCAACACAATTACAAAATAAACCCCTAACTATTACTGAATGGCAAGATTGGTCCAACATGTGTTAACCTGGTGACCATGAGTAGGCTTTTTACAAGATTCAAGCATTGGAAATAAGTCCAAGTCTTTTAATAAAGAGCAACAGAATCTGAATCTCCAACCCAAGCCACAAACCAAGCCATGAAATCGTGAAACAGAAGTTGAGTAAACCCCATCTGCATATTGTCAATAAAAATACTGTTGGAGTTTAGCAGTTCATCAGTTTACAAGAACTGTCAATCACTTCTGCAATCAGTCTAGGAGATTAAGAGGCACTTTAAGGTTTTTTAAAAGTATCTAACTTATGTAGACATGTAAAACAAACAGCTTATGCAGAAATGTAAAAAACAGTTTAGACTCCACCTCACGCCTTTCGACTATATGAAAATGTATTAGTTTGCTTCCCTTGCTGAAAGGTTGAAAGTATTCATCCTTATTACTTCGTAGCATTTAAAGAAAACAACCTCTTACATATTTAATTTTCCAAAAGTGGAAAATCTTGGTTTAGGAGAGATTTTTTAAAAGTAATAATAAAATAGAAAAAGTGCCCTATATCTACTAAGGTACGGGTCTCCCATTTGAGTACAAACTACTAAGCTAAGGTACGCCCTAAATCCCGTAAAAAGTGACCAATTTGTCCCAAACTTGAAACCTTTGGTCATGGTGCATGGCCATCAAATTCACCCGCCAGTGAGTATTTTCTCACAAGTATCCCAACGCAGCTGGTCTTTGTTCCAACTCAAGGAGCGGTGACTTTGTAGACATTGCTTCTCAGATCCACGGAGACAAATATGCCATTGTAGCTTTTTGATCCCTGATGTTGCTTCTCAAATGTAGAGTCAGATTCGTTGCCATAGATTTTCGATTTCCGAAGTTGCTTTGCAGATGTAGGAGTCAGATTTCCAGCATTGCTTCTTAGCTGTTGGAGACAGTTTTGCCATTGTTGCTCGTTGATCTCCACCATACTTGAAAACTTTTCTCTTGCCCACATTAATTGTGAATTTTCGTCAACAGTTCTGTGTCTAGAGATGCCTTGGGCTAAGGGCAGTTTAGTAACTTTCCCCGATCATTTTTCTTTCCTTGGTCCAAGAGCCAAAAGTGAAGTGGGCAAAAATATTAGAACGGATGGAGTACATATTAATGTAATGAATGATGAGAATAATATTTCTCTTGTGAAATGTTCTAAAGTCTCTAGTTTACAGTCATTTTTAAGTACTCATCATTGAGGTTGGTTCTGTTACCTTGCACAAGCACATGTATAATTGAAGTTCAATTTTGTATGGTCATGAATACTAGATTTTCCTTTTCATCATGTCTTTGTTGAAAGCAAGTATACCGGTGTTCCAAATCATAAACTATATGTTAAAATTAATGCTTACTCAATTGAAATCCATGCCTAAACGTCTTAGGATCGTTGTTACTGGACTGTCAAAAAAATCTGTTCATTAACTGCTCCTTGGCAGCAGCACAATCTGATTCTGCTACGGTGCTACCATGCACCAGCCCATGTATAATCAAAGTACATTTTTGTACAGCGGAGTGTACTAGTGTTTCCTTTCCATCACATCTTTGTGGAAAGTACTATTGAGTTCATAGGTAAGAAGAAGTATTATTTAACTAAAAAAGCATTATTTAACTTTTCTTCTATTATATGTTTCTAATAGAGTGCCAAAGCCTATCGATACAAGGAAATAAATAGTAACAAGAAGACAAAAGGGAGCAACAAAAAAAAATTCCAGCTCCTGGAAGATACGTGGGGCTTTCACGGTCTTTGGCCGCGTCCCAAAAAAAGCATGCTACCCTTGCAAGGTGACAGTATTCGAGAGACCGATCCATCCATTCAACAGTTCCAAAATTTGTGGAAGCCGCTAGACTCCAAAACTAATTACAAGTTTATGACCTATGAATGGTCGACCCATGGCCGGCACCAGGCGAAAGTCAATTACAATGATTACTTCGAGTTGGGCCATAACATGGCCACAAGACTCAAGAGCTTCAAAGATGACATCGCCCGTGCATGTATGTACTCTGTATAATTTTTAGTTCAGTTTTTTTCCAACTATTATGAGATATATATGTATAACTAATAAATATATATTTTTCAATTCAAGTTAATTGAATTTAAATTGAAAATAAACTTTTCAACAGATAGCAACATTGATGAGACGCTGAAGGGAACCAAAACTATTGGGGACGTCAAGTGGAGATGTGCTCCGGCATTTGCGTTATCAATGGAGCTTGAAAAGATTCTCGGCTATCATCCTGAACTCAAAGCCTCAATGATTTGTGGAAATCTTCATCTATTTGAGGTGCTGGTTGATGTTGATTACAATACGACCATAAAGAACTACGAGGTGCTCAAAAAAGGAGCTAAATTCACTAACTGTGCTGATAATGACATTTTGTATTTTTAGTAGAAGAGGTTAGGTGTGCACCAGTTCTTTTATGGTTGAACTTTGTAGAAGCTTACTTAAAATACTACAATGATGTGTCCACTTGTCATGTTTAATTGCCTCTTTTTTTTTTTTGTATTTCCCCACCCCTCTAGTGGGATGATACTGGTTAACAATTTTAGTGGATGGATGTTTTTATGCTCTTTGATCAAAGGTTATATAAGTCAGCTCTCTCTTTGTTTAAGAAATGACTTATAAATGTTTATGCACTAGAAAAAAATAAGTACTCCTTATTTCTTACCTAATATTTATTTTGAGTCATTTTTTTCGTTTCTTTGCTTGCTTTGACCAATTATAAAGGTATTTTGGACCTTTTATTCTCCAAAAGGTGAAATCGCTCACCCCGGGCCCTTCACCCCCGACCCGACGGGGAATGTGAGAGGAGGTCACGGTAACCCAAGCAACAACACTTAGCTAGACCATATTCTAGTGCGCACCAGAGACTCCCCCATTTTTCAGAGGTGGTCGCCTCCACAACAGTCGCTGCCAGGTTTCGATCCTTGGTCATTCTCCAAACTTTACCAAGTGCTTGCCACTTGGGCTACCCGTGCGGTATCTTGGACCTTTTATGAATATCCCAAACTGACTCATTTCTAACCCATTTTACAAAAAATATTTTAATAAGCAACATATAAAGTTAAAAATTGTTTATTCATAATAAGCCAATAAGCATTAACATAGAGAATCACTGCTTAGGTTATGTTCTCCTCAACTTATTTTCTTTATTTATTACTTATTCTTATTAGGATGAGATCGGATCAGTCTAGATCAAATATAGCTTTAAATATAAGATTAGATCAGGCTACATCAAATCAGATTATATTCCAATTATTTCAGAACTAGTTAGATCAGGTGAAGAGGACATGATCTTAGATTCTCAAAACTCCACAATAAAAAAGATACTCCGTACAACATAAAAATTAGAAATGAATATTTTGTACTTCGGATTGTCTTATGGGGACACTAACAAAAGGTAAAATTGTATTTAAAAAAATATTCTAAAGATGTGGCCGAAGTGGTGCAATGGCATGAAGTAGCCTAACTCCCCGTAAATATAAGGAAAAATTATCGAAGAATCCTAATTTTATTCGGTCTTTAAAAAATAATCTTACATATTTCACTATGGTGTATAATAATTGTAACTTTACTAAAATTTATGAGTTTTGGATTGCTATTGAATTACTAATGATGAGTTAATGGAAATGGTCTGTTTTACGTAACAAAATGAAAGTTTACTTTTTTATAAATTTATATTCTTTAGTTTTTTAAAATTTTTATTTTAAATTTTTAAAATAACTTTACCTCCATTTCTTTTTCCTTTTTTTAAGGATTAGCCTAACTTTGGATAAAAATTAAAAATACGGAGTAGATATAAACATTCAAAAATGAGAAAATAACTAAAATCACATAAAATTAATGAAATAAATAAGGTAATCAATAATAATTAACCTAAAACTGGTAAGAAATGAAATAAGGTAATCAATAATAATTAACCTAAAACTGGTAAAAATATACTCCGTATTACGGAGTATATATACAATTATACATAATACATAATATTTTAGAGAGTATGTAGTTTTGAACCTATCCACTTTGAGATGCTAAGAGATACTCCAATCCAAATTGAGCCACTAAATATATTGTTACCTAAGATAACTAAATGAAAATTGTTTATGTTTCGTCCAAAAAATTAATATGAATACTTATCAAACAATTTAAAGATTTTTACCTTTATAGTTGAAAAAAACTTTGAATTGGGACGTCCCAAATTGTTCTAAATTGTCCCCATCCCAAATAAATGGGACAAAGTAAAATAACATCGTGTCTCGCACCACTATGACCAAATTCTATAAACAGAACTAAGACCGAGATAATAGAAACTTGGACCGTATATACCCGTGCCCATCTCTAATAGGATTAAGCTACATGTACCATAACATTTATACCTCAATTTGTATCCCGCAGGTTTGCACCAGCATTTTATGTTGGTGTAAAACTAATTTTTGTTAACGCACCAACATTTGTGTTCGTGTAAATTTTTGTTAACACACCAACACCTGTGTCGGTGTAAACTATCAAAATGTTTGTGCAAAGCTGTGGTGTACAAGTGAGGTACATTTTTTGGTGTAAGTGTAGCATGGTCCTCTCTAATATTAACAATTGAAAATGTTTTTTGATAAAAAAAAGTGCTACCAGACAATGAAAAATGTGATAGGAAAATAATTTTTTTTTATAAATATAATCCCCTGAAAATTAATTTTCTCTGAAAATATTTTCCTCGCGTCCAAATATATAGATCCTCATAGTTAGTCGATGCAAAATGTGACCTAAGAACTTTTCTTTCTTCTAAACAAAATCCACATAATTTTAATTGACCTTTGACACTTCAAATTACCGCGTATGGCCAACATTAGCTTTAACTCAATTATTTCAAAATGAATGTAGAAAAAAATGAAATTCATTTATTTAAAAGTCTATAAAAAAAAGTCTATTCTCCTAGTCTCATAAAACATTTCTTTTTTCATGCATTCCAAAAAATCTCTTTCAATAACCCTTTTATCTATAATCATTGTTAACCAATTTGTGACATCATACGCATTTGAAAGAAATTTATGAAAGGAGGGAGTATTAATTTTGTCAAATGTACAAACGTTGTTAGGGGGACAAAAGCAACCCAAAATAAGGTGCAATACGGTTATATTACGGAATACTTCTTAAAATGACCAAGAAAAATATGGACAACAACAACTCATTTAATAAGTAAGGTCTATCTAGACATTGTCTCTACTCAAAAGTAAAATAAACTGTCTATGGCCAACTAGACCGTAACCATAGAAAGCACCCGATGAAAACATGTGAAGAAAAAAAGTAACTAGAATGGGTGCTCTCTAACCACTCTAGACTCGGTTTGTACTAGACTCGGTTAGTACTAGCTAGATCGGTACTAGACACGATGAAAAAAAAGATGACCCATGATCAACGTTGTTCTATACATTTTGAACCGGTTTGGAGTTACTACTAGATTCGGTTCAAACCGGTATTTACTAGACTCTGAGAAGTTTGCTCAAAACCCGGTTGGTCTCAAAACTCGAATTTCAGACTTAATACTCTTTCTATCACCTCCCTTCTAGGGCTGGCTCGGTTGGAAAAATTGAAAACCATAAACTGAAACAAAACTAATCATCTAATCGAAACGAGTTAGAAAAAAGCCAACCGAAAAAGCCAAATGGAATGTAAAAAACCATATCAAAGTGTTTTTGTTTGGGTTTGTTTTGGTTTTCACTTTGAAAAACCAAACCGAACCGAATAAATTGAACTTTCTTAGATATTTTCCTTTATTTATATGAGTATATATGACATGTAGAGAAATCATAGAAATAAAAATTCAAATAAATTACCATTCGATTAAAGTTATTTTCTTAACAATTAATTAAATATTTTAACTACTCCCTCCGTCCCGTGAAACATGGGACATTTGCTTTTTAGGAGGGATTTAAGAGAAGTGTATTTTGGTATTGAATTTCCAAAAATGTCCTTTGATGTGATGGGTAAAAGTATGATTTGATGGATAGATTATTAGTAAAAAGGTAAGATGTGATAGTTAGGGTATGAAAAAGTAAGGGGTAAAAGTGATTTTTTAATAGAAATGAGAAGTGTTTTGTGGGACGGATAAAAAAATAAAGGGGAAATGTTTCACGGGACGGAGGGGGTATATTATAAACCTTAAAAAAGTCTAAGAATAAACACAAATAAATAATCCTAATATAGAATTATATTATTATTAAGAATTGATAAGAGTAACTTACATATTTACATATAAAAACTCTGATGTTATAATGAAAATGAAAGTATTGTAACAAAAAAACACAAAGTTTTCGTAATTGATTTTACATACGATGTCTTTAAAAGTACTTGAAATCTCCTAAATGTTTGTTGAACACCCAACACATGTCTTTATGTAAAATTAAACCGAACGGAACAAAAACCTTCCATTTTGCTTTTTTTTGTTTTGTTTTTGTGTAACAATAACGGTTTACATACGGGTTATTTTTTTTTATGCAAAATTGAACCGAACTGTCAACCGAACCCACCCTACTCCCTTCTATTCCAGCAAGGCAGATCGTCTGGCCTCCTTCCCTCCCCTCGCTTGTGCCCATAGATCTTCTAATATTTACATATTTTATTTTTGAAATATTTATTAGAGCTTAGATCTAAAAAATGATGATGGTTTCCATCAAGGAGTGGATGATCATATATCATCAACAACATCTGAGTCTACATCTAATTAACCTAGTATTGGATCGAACATAAAGAAACACGACAATTAATCAGCTTAAAATCCAATACTTATGGATCCAAAAACTCGTACATACCGTGTTACATCGGCGGCGAACTGCTCCGGCGGCCAGACGACCCCAAATCTAAGCAATGTTTTTTCTCCTTCTCTCTCTCTCTCACTCTCTCTCTTTTACAGTACAACACTTGGTGAAGTTTGGAGAATGACCAAGGATCGAAACCCGGCACCGACCGTTGTGGAGGCGACCACCTCTGAAAAATGGGGGGAGTCTCTGGTGCGCACTAGGATATGGTCTAGCTAAGTGTTGTGCTTGGGTCACCGTGATTTACCTCCTCTCACATTCCCGTCGGGTCGGGAGTGAGGGGCGTCCGGGGTGAGCGATTTCACCTTTTTTATATTGTGGTATGGTACTGTGAATGTATGGTGTGGATGTTTGGGTTCGTGTCAGGGTGTAATAATGATTAGGGTAAAGCCGACCGCAAGTGCTGGGCTTGGGGGGGCCTGACCTCCGTATTTTTTTGGGGTGTATATAAATAAATAAAAATAAAATTTATTCCAACTCCTTCAAGGTTCTCTCTAACATCTTCAAGTTCCTTCCAACTCATTCTTCCAACAACAATTTAAAAGTATTTATATATGACTAATATTCCGTATAAAATAATACTCCCTCCGTCCCTTTAAACACGAGATGTTTTGATTTTGAAGAGATTTAGGTGAGTGTATTTTGGTATTGAATTTTCAAAAATGTTCTTTGATGTGATGGGTAAAAATAAAATTTCATGAGTAGATTATTAATAAAAAAGGTATGATGTGATAGGTAGAGTTTGAAAAAATAAGGGATAAAAGTGGCTTTTTAATAGAAATAAAAAGTGTTTTTTGGACGGATGAAAAAAGAAATGAGAAAGATTTTCAGGTACGGAAGGAGTATTATATATTCAAATGTGTGATATATCACCTCAAACACGAACAATGATAGATTTTTTTTATCTAAAATTAAAATTTCTTAACATATTTATTTGGAAGATAATTTAATTGATATTCCAAATCTCTTTAAGTACTTCAAGCTTTTTTCAATATCTAACTCTGAAATTTTAACCCAAAATCAATAGGGTCTTAAGAAGTATATCAAAAGTTCTACAATACAAAACAAGAAGTAACAAAAGGACTCCTTCCGTCCCTTAAAGTTCTTCCCGTATTGACTCTTTGAGAATTTAAGAAAGAAATATTTTTGTGTTAACTTTTAAAAAATACCCTCAATATGATGGGTAAAAGTATGATGTTTTTGATAGATTATCAGTAAAAAATAAAGTGATAGGTATGATAAGAATTAGTTGGGGCAAAAATATTTCTTAATGGATCATAGAAAGAGTTTATGAGACAATGGAAAAAAGAAAGGAGAAAGATTTTAAGAGACAAAGAGAACATATTATTTCATAAATAATGAATCAAACTATATCAATAAATAAAAGTTTTCATGATTTTTTAAATATTAAGTATAAGCCATCTAGGGAGGACAAAGGGAGTATATTTCAAAAACTAAACAAATACATTCATCCCATAGGCACTATGTTTCACCAATGTACAACTTTTATATTCTAGAAAGATACAAATCAAACATACTCCCTTAGCTCACCAAAACTCTCACTCTTTCATTTTTTTTCACTTCCAATAAAATACTTACAGTTTCTATTAAAAAATCACTTTTACAGTTTTTGAGTGTTTTGGAATAAAGCAAGTGTTGACCATGTAATACTTCCTCTGTTCCTGAAAAACACGGGAAAGTTTTATTTTAAAAAGATTTAAAGATAGCATATTTTGGTATTAAATTTCCAAAAGTATCTTTAAATATGATGAGTAAAAGTTGGATTTGATGCATAAATTAATAATGAATAGATATGATATAATATGTAGGTTAAAATTTAGGTCATGTTCTCTTCACTTGATCAGATTGGATCTGATCTGATTGGAATAAATTCTAATCTGATCTGAATGCAATTATATTTAAAGTTATTTATAATATGATCTGATTTGATTTCAATAAAAATAAATATTAAGTAAAAAATAACTTAAGAAGAACATAACCTTAGTAGAGATAAAAATAATAGAAATGAGAAATTTTTATGAGATAAGAGTGGAAAGAAAAAAGATTTCCGGGGAGATGGAGGAAATATATGTTAAGCATCAACTCTTTTTTTTTTTTTTGAAGGGATGTTAAGTATCAACTTGTTCATGCCTTGATGGTAATTAAAGAGAGACACACATTGACAGGTCGGTGGTTGTGAATCAGTTGTCACTGGGGAATTAATACTGAAGACTAAGCTGTAATATTTCAAGCAAGTGCTTGATAATTTTGGGTGCCACCACATGAGTGCTACCATAGGTGTACCGATGCTTCGCACAAACAAACACAGACGATAATTGTCTGTGTTGTTTGTCTGTGCGAAGCATGGGTGCGCCCATGGTAGCACCCATGTGGTGGCAACCTAGCATGGTCCTATTCACTTTACCAGCACAGAGCTTCAAGCAAGTGGTTTTGGGGGACCCATACCTAGCCTGGGGCAAGTATTTCTGACTTTATTTCTGTAATGATGACCAACATGTTTGAACTGCATGTGAGGAAGCTCTCCCTCCATCAATAAATGCATTTATCCTCACTAAAATCCATTCCTCTTTTATTTTTCCCGCTTTCACTAAAACACTTACTTTTTATAAAAATTATATATCAAGTCATTGCAATATATTTCATCTATTTTGTGTTGACATAATGAGTTATCTAAGTAATTTTGTCTATCTTTTCATTTCAAACACCAATGATTTGATTGGAAAGTCTACTTGCAAAAAAAAATCCTGCAAAAATCAAACCATGAACTAATGAACTATTTCGAAGAACCGAGGGAGAACATGTTATATCATATGGAGTAGTTTTTTGGGTCATGCTACGGTCATACTGTGAATGACCCCGAGTTTTAAAACATATACTGCATTGTAATAGAATCAATAGTCACGAAAAAAAATATTTCTTAAATTAGCATAAATCACTTATAAGGTACACCACTCTATAAGGTAAACTTATGTCCATTAACAATCTACTTGAAATTGATGTAAATAAATGCGAGTGAAAAAGGCAAAAAATAATCAAAAGGTTCTTCTAGTCTTCTGGTAGTGCCAATTGCCAAAGAGCTTCCAAAAACGAGGTGTTCCCTGCCTGGAGAATGTGAGAGCCATTCTCCATGTTATCTTGAACTTGATAAATATGCAAGTACGGAGTATCCTGAAACTCCCTTTCAAACGCACCTTGGGGTGAGTTCTTAAACTATCTAAACTATGTACTCCTGGAGTATAATTTATCCCGGACATCGATTCCAAAAGAACCCCTGATAATCAGTACGGCATGTATCTATACCCAGCGTCTGCAAAACTCTCGCAAATCTGTTGACGTTGATCGATGTCGAATCCCGAGGGATGCATTTCCAGTTCCCTTTGATATTCCTTCTCGACCAAGCTCCTCCTGGTGAAGGGATAACTGTCGATGCCGAAGTCGCGGATGATATCGATTCCATGGGGATCGACACACCTTTCAACACTGGGATCAGCTATGAGGAAACATTCGTCAAGACCGTAAATATCACACATTGTCTCTAGTCTATGGCACACGGTGTTGTTGAAGGGAAAAAACCACCAGCGTAGCAGGTCATGACTTGCAAGAGCTTCAATGATCGCCTCCTCGTGCAACGCTGGGGGCACCTGCTCAGGGAAGGGATAGCACACCACCACAATTTCAAGCTCATACTCTCTCCGTCTACATTCCTCGTAGACCTCCTGAATCATCTCTATGCTTCTACCATCAGAGCACATGTAAAGCCCCACGACCCTCTGTTTGAGTTTTGAAATGGCAATACACCCATCCTTCTCCTCCTTCAACCTGCCCCCGCCAGCGAGATATTCAATATTGTAGAGAACATCAGTGTCGCTGAGGCCCAAAACCTCATCCAGGGAGCGATTCTCCGGATCATCCTCCAAGGTTAGAACAATCTTCTGTCCCTTTGGAGTAAAGGGAAGGCAATCAGGCCCGGACCCTCCGTAAAACGCAAACATGCGAGGCGGGCCAAGGTGAAGCACCCTGTGAGATGGATCTAGAAGTAAAGCCTTAAGCTTACCATCAAACCCGAGCGACGAGCAAATGAACTCACGCCGATGAGAGTCCTCGAAAGGGACAGCGAGGCAGGAAAAACCCGACAAGAAGTGTTGGTAGGCAGAGTGGGAATGAGCGAAACCGTCCCTCATCATTGGCACCACCACCATCACAAAATCATCTCTTCTGGCCAGCTCATGAGAAGCTAAAGAGGTGTAATACACCATACACGCGTCTTCTGAACACCATATCGAAGGCACAAACACGCAACAAATCATAACGTATTTACCCTTAAGGCTTAGGGTGCATTCCACGCTGACATTCTCTTTGTTGCCCCCTGCTGCTGTGCTGGCGGTAGAGGCGCTAACAACAACACCACCCCTATTAACATTACCACAACGCCTCAACACCGGGGGGGTTTGAATCCCCCTACTCATGCCCGACTTAGACATACCCCCATCCGCACCTTTATTCGGACCACGCGAACCCACATAACTTGTGGATTTGGTGCTGAACCTCAAGAGGTTACTCCCTAGAAAATCTAAAACATCCAGCTGCTTGCCTACCTCCACTCCGGGCACATCTACCAAGGACTCCGAATAAATGGGGCATTCTGTGTCAAAATACAAGCCCAACTTATTTTCCTTGACTACAGCACCCGGGTGGGGGCGTTCGTTAGCATCTCTGCTGCTGGGGTGTAAGATCGAAGCTCTTACGTGATGGCGGCGACACTTGGATACATTTGGAAAGCATATCTTCTCTTCCAACAGCTTCACCGTCCGATCTACAAACCAAACAAAAATTGAACCAAATCAAATGTAATGATCAGACTGAACTCATCCATTATTACTCCACAATTGATGGTTTAAATCAATAACCTGAGAGAGCAATCTTAGGCGACGGCGATGATCGGCGGCGACCCTTCGAACTTGACTGTGATTCATCATCCCGTCGCCTCTTCAGCTCCATTCTCTTCCAAAACCCTAGCCCCGCCTTCTTCAAACAAAATTTTGAGGTGATTTCTGCGAATCATAACATATACTCCTTGAACTGTATATAATAGACGTCGAGACATCCTCGGACGGGTATGCAGGCCGGATTTGGGCCGGACCGAGCATGTGTTTATCGTTTGTCCAAGTATATTGGCGGGTCAAGCCCGCTCGCAAAATAAATCTGCCACATTGACTGTGCAAAACTGGGGATTGAGCTTCAATTTCACCCAAAAATAATTCTCCCTTTATATACTCTCTCAGAGTCTCAGTCTCTCCTTCCTAACATTTCTTTCACGTTTTGATTTTTTATACAGGATACTTTTTTTTTATGTTAAGTAAGACAATGATTTCTATATAGTCTTAATATCTTCATTTAAAATGTAAATATTTTCATATTTTTTATAGGTTTAAATATAATGTGGATATTTTCTTTTTTTGCAAAAGGTTCACTGAAGAATTATTATTTTCTCTGATTAATGCAATGATTCTACCTCCCTTTATATACAAAGTGGGGGGGTTTACAATAAAGAAACAATATTATATATGGATCCTATACAATTATGGTATATATTATACTCCCTCCATCCCATTTTAAATTGCTGTTTGCCTTTTTTCTCCGTCCCAAAATAAATTGCCTGTTAGTTGTTTTCGTAAACTATTAAAAATAAAATACCTAAACTACCCTTAAAATAAGTCATTCTTTTTCACCTTATCTTCTCATTCATCATTACCCCTCTTAAAAAGTAATGTCAATTTTGAAAAATCAACTCTATTTTTTATTTTCCTTAAATATGCCCAAAAGTCAAAACGGACGATTTAAATTGGGACGGAGGGAGTAATTGATACAAGGAATATACTTAACATATATAATAAATATGCTTAACATATTTAACACTTACTTCAATAAAACTAAACTCGAATCACAGTAATAATTCAACATGTGTACCCTAAAATCACAACGAACTCGCTTAAAAAACAAGAGAAACCAGAGCAACCGTAAACACTTTTAATGAAAGAAAAAAAAATTGACGTTTTTCTTTATACTATGTATATGTTTTTTTTCTCTCCTTTCTGGTCTCAGTAAAGCAAACCAAACCAAAAAGAGCTTTGGAGGCTCAGGCTCTTAGTAGTTAATACTAGTATATCACTTTGTCACAAACTCTCAACAGGTCAAAAGACATTAGTGTCCACTATAAGGCGGGATTTAAAGATGCAGGAGATGATGATCGTCCCCATCCATAATCCATACACATAAAACTCAAATCTCACTGAAGAAATCCTTTCCTTCGGTGAAGAGATGATGATGAAGCCTTTTCATCCTGTAAAGCTTTTATTTCCAGGTGTAACCTGCAAATGTGCAAATACATGAACGGGTGAGATGTTAATTAAAGATGAGGAGATGATGAATAGCATGGATCGAAATTAAAGTACGTAAACGTAGAAGGTGACATTCTTTTTCCACCCAAACGAAAAGATACTCAAAGGGTAATGAATTATAAAATTTACTTTGGACACTAAATCTGCGACCGAAGTATTATTTAAGACCTAGTGGAAAATTGTAGTCTAAAATGAGTATTTTTTGCACATAGCTTTTTAGAATTTTTCTCGTTCCAATGTGTCACAATAGACAATTGTACCCGGACCTATAGACTATAAGTTCAACGCACTAATTTGAAACATTGGTCATATGGCAGCTTTTCAATTTGAAAAAGAAAAAAGAAAAATATTTAGCTACTTAGAGTAAACACGCCGTTAAAAGGCTGAATGTTCGCTGGCGGGTTGTAAACAAGAGAAACCTGCAAGGACAATAATATATGTTAGAATTAACAAATAAGTATAATCTGGAGGATATGATAATTAGAAGAAAAAAACAATCTATAAAAAGTATCGTAAAATGTTACTCCTTTTGTCCCAATGTATATCGCCCGTTTTGACTTTTGGACATATTTAAAGAAAATAAAAAATAGAGTTGATTTTTCAAAATTAACATTACTTTTTAAGATGGGTAATGATAAGTGAAAAGATAAGGTGAAAAAGAATGATTTATTTTAAGGGTAGTTTAGGTATTTTATTTTTAAAAATTTATGAAAACAACTAACAGACAATTTGTTAATTAGCTTTAACAAGCTCTTCGAGCATTTGTTTCTCGTTTAGTTATCACATTGATTGTGTTTTTGATCCTCAACCCAGTAAGGCTATCATTAACATAAGCGTACCATAAAATCACGTTTAAAAACAGAAACCGGAGCAACCGTAAACACTTTTAATGGGAGGAAAGAAAATAGACATATTCCCTTGTACTATGTACACATTTTTTCCCTTTTTGGTTTCAGGAAAGCAAACCAAACCAAACCGAATAGAGCTTTGGAGGCAAAGGCTCTTAATTGTTAATGTTTCACTTTGTCACAAACTTTCAGCAGGTCAAAGACAGTAGTAGTAGCAGTAATACTGGTGTCAACTAGAAAGCAGAATTCAAAGATGCAGGAGGTGATGGCCATCTTCATCCATATTCCATACACATCAAACTCAAATCTCAGTGCAGAAAATCCTTCATGGGATCATCATGATGGACCCTCTTCATCCTGTATGCTTCCATTTCTTCCGGGGTAACCTGCAAATGTACGTGCAATCACATTAACGGTCAAGATGTTACGGGTGAGGGGACGATAAATAGCGTGGAAAAAATTAAGTATGAACAAAGTGACATATTCTCTTCTTTTTTTTTTTGCTTTTTTAGTTTTTCCCCCAAGCAATAAGAGGGAACTTTGAGGCGATAGCAACCAGAGCGGTCTTGAAGGTGTATCATGTGTGTACCCGCATAGGGCCCTCCAATTTATGTAGAGCCTTATTTCAAGGCTTCATAACTATGATCGTTTGACATGTTAAAAACTGTTTTTCATATGTAAAATTTGATAGTATATTAATTGTCAAAATATTGTCATTTTTCCACCCAAAAAAAGGAAACTCAAAACTATTGCATTATAATTTTGACACTAAATTTTAGACAGGAATTACGGAGTATTATTTAAGGCTTAAGTTGAAAATTAAAGTCTAAAATAAATTTTTGCACTTGTCCTTTTATAAATCTTCTCATTTCAATGCCGTCCAGATAGCAATTGTACTCGGACATAAAGCCCTATAGGCTAGGTTTGAGGTGATTTATAGAAAGCATACTGCATACCTCATCGTTATACTTCACGTTATATTTCCGCTTTCTTTCATCCTTCACTTCTCTTTTCCGTTCATCCTCCTGCTCATACAAAACAAAACACGCATCAAACACAGACTAAAAATCAGAATATAAGACAAATGAGATAGAGCCCATTTATTCAGGTGATATGGCTGAATGTATCAGATTCTTTGCAGAATAAACACTTTTGGCTGCCAAATGAGATCCTAACATATAGGTTAACTCCAAGTGAAGAGAAACTAGTTACGGTATACAAAACAGGGGGGATTTCTGTGACGAAACAATATGCTATCAACAATCAAAAATCGCGTTTTGTCAAGTGAAAAACAAAAAGAAAAACATAAAGCAATAAATAAGACTGACCTTTTTAAGTGCTTCAGCTAATTTTTTGTCATCAAGAACCAAATCATCCGGTACTTCAGTACCCCATGTAGCAAGCTTCTTTTGCTCGGTTGGTGTTTGGGCATCTGGATTCATCACCATTTTCAGTTTCAAAACAAAAAAATTGATAGAAAATTTGCTTGTTCATGTAAATAGATAACAAGTGAATAACAGAAGTAATTTGAACGGAAAATCTTTACTCACCTTCTGCAGCTTCTTTACGAGCTATATTGGCCTTCATTAAATCACCAGCAGCCTCAGCTGCTTCAATTCCAGCAGTACCGGTACAATAACTGTTTCTGATTGTCTGTTTGCAGCACTTATAACCCCATTGATGGTCCTTCCACCAGGAGCCCCAAACACTAGTGTGATTGTTGATGAAAATGTCCTCTTCATATTTGCTCCTTGGAAGTGATATTTCCTGCCAGACAAAAGTCAACAACAGTAACTATATCTGGTTTAGACTGGAATATGATCAATAACCCTTTAAAGGCAACAACTGCTGCAACAATAAAGCTACAACAGAAATTTTCAATTTATCCCGACCCGGCAATAAAAAATTGTTTTTAAAAATTACCTGGCCCTTCACAATCCTACCAGCTCGATCATATTCAACTTCCTTCTCACTTTGACCCAACAAAAGTTCTCTAGGGAGTGTTTCCTCACTAGCTGCATTGCCATACTTCTCCTTGATAGCGTCCTTGGTTTGGAATTCCATTTTCTCCTTATTGATCTTAAAATTTTTATAAAGCAATTCAGCTTGTGAGGGAGCTGCTTGCATATGGATGTCATGACCCTTCTCAAATGACTCCCAAGCATGAATATTGAGCTGCTTGAACTCCAGAGCTTGACCACTCAATCTATTCTGGTTATCCCCCTATAACACAGCAAAACCACAAATAAAATTTTGAATAGAAGCACATCTCTTTTTTATTTATAGAACTCTGACATCCAATAAATGTGTCCATAAGAACNTTTTTGCTTTTTTAGTTTTTCCCCATGCAATAAGAGGGAACTTTGAGGTGATAGCAACCAGAGCGGTCTTGAAGGTGTGTCATGTGTGTACCCGCATAGGGCCCCCCAATTTATGTAGAGCCTTATTTTAAGGCTTCATAATTATTGATCGTTTGACATGTTAAAAACTGTTTTTCATATGTATAATTTGTATAATTTGATGGTATATTAATAGTCAAAATATTGTCATTTTTCCACAAAAAAAAAGGAAACTCAAACGTATTGCATTATAATTTTGACACTAAATTTGAGACAGGAATTTTTGCACTTGTCCTTTTTAGAAATTTTCTCATTTCAATGCCGTCCAGATAGCAATTGCACTCAGTCATAAAGCCCTATGTGCTAGGTTCGAGGTGATTTATAGAAAGCATAGTGCATACCTCATCGTTATACTTCACATTATATTTCCGCTTTCTTTCATCCTTCACTTCTCTTTTCCGTTCATCCTCCTGCTCATACAAAACACAACATGCATCAAACACAGACTAAAAATCAGAATATAAGACAAATGAGATAGAGCCCATTTATTCGGGTGATATGGCTGAATGTATCAGATTCTTTGCAGAATAAACACTTTTGGCTGCCAAATGGGATCCTAACAAATAGGTTAACTCCAAGTGAAGAGAAACTAGTTACGGTATACAAAACAGGGGAACATTTGTGTGACGAAACAATATGCTATCAACAATCAAAAATCACGTTTTGTCAAGTGAAAAACAAAAAGAAAAACATAAAACAATAAATAAGACTGACCTTCTTAAGTGCTTCAGCTAATTTTTTGTCATCAAGAACCAAATCATCCGGTACTTCAGTACCCCATGTAGCAAGCTTCTTCTGCTCGGTTGGTGTTTGGGCATCTGGATTCATCACCATTTTCAGTTTAAAAAAAATGATAGAAAATTTGCTTGTTCATGTAAGTAAATAGATAACAAGTAATCTGAACGGAAAATCTTTACTGACCTTCTGCAGCTTCTTTACGAGCTATATTGGCCTTCATTAAATCACCAGCAGCCTCAGCTGCTTCAATTCCAGCAGTACCGGTACAATAACTGTTTCTGATTGTCTGTTTGCAGCACTTATAACCCCATTGATGGTCCTTCCACCAGGAACCCCAAACACTAGTGTGATTGTTGATAAAAATGTCCTCTTCATACTTGCTCCTTGGAAGTGATATTTCCTGCCAGACAAAAGTCAAAAACAGTAATTATATCAGGTTTAGACTGAAATATGATCAATAACCCTTTAAAGGCAACAACTGCTGCAACAATAATGCTACAACAGAAATTTTCAATTTATCCCCACCCGGAAATAAAAGATTGTTTTTAAATATTACCTGGCCCTTCACAATCCTACCAGCTCGATCATATTCAACTTCCTTCTCACTTTGACCCAACAAAAGTTCTCTAGGGAGTGTTTCTTCACTAGCTGCATTGCCATATTTCTCCTTGATAGCATCCTTGGTTTGGAACTCCATTTTCTCCTTATTGATCTTAAAATTTTTATAAAGCAATTCAGCTTGTGAGGGAGCTGCTTGCATATGGATGTCATGACCCTTCTCAAATGACTCCCAAGCATGAATATTGAGCTGCTTGAACTCCAGAGCTTGACCACTCAATCTATTCTGGTTATCCCCCTATAACACAGCAAAACCACAAATAAAATTTTGAATAGAAGCACATCTCTTTTTTATTTATAGAACTCTGACATCCAATAAATGTGTCCATAAGAACGTCATTGTCCCAAAAAAGGGCCGAGTTTCAACAGCAGACTTCTGTTTTTTAAGTAAACTTCATGTTAAGCCAAGCAACAACATATTTTAATCAAATACCGCAAAACAATCTTTGAAAGTTTTAGGAGTGCAAGTCACCGTGCATAGTTTGTTAAAGCATATAATCATACCATACTCGGACTCCTTTTTTG